GCCTGCCCACCATCCCCCTTTCTATTCCGGTCTCCTTTACCCGCCCTGTGGAGGTAAAATAACAAGAGAGAGAGTGAGAGACACAGAGGGAAGGGGAGGGGGAGATAGAGAGAGAGAGAGAGAGAGAGAGAGAGAGAGAGAGAGTAACGGAATAATGGTAGCCTAGTATCCTGCATTCACAAATTTCCCTTCTCTGCTCTTTTGCGCTTTCTCTTTCTCGTTTCTCTATTCTCTCATCCTCGGTTCGGTTTTGCTGCTTATGTTCTACTTGCTTTTCGCCTCCGGGTGGAATGTGACAGTCAGCTGCCGCATGGCGCCTCTGCCACGCAGCGCCAAGCAGCGCCACGCAGCGCCCAGCAGCGCCACGCAGCACGGCGCCCGACCAGCAGGAGAAGGAATGCCGAATCACTGAACCTGTCTTTACTTAAAGAAAGACCGGACCTATCGGACCTATTGTGTTGTATGAAAGTTAGACAAAAATACTGTGAGTTAGGAGGACAGTAGGACTATTTTAAAATAATTATTGCATTATATTTTAACTTAATTCTGATGTTTTAAAAGTTGCTGGGTGTCTTAACTCAAGGCACTTATTTTTTTTACCGAACACTGTATTTGTCCCTTGTTGTAAAATAACGGGAGCAATTTTTATGAAACTCCATCTTCCCGTCAGCAGCGGAAGTTTGTTTGCGATATTATTTATTGACAACCCACAATAAACTCTTGTATGCCAAAAATTAAGTGGGGGAGGGGCGAAGTTGCCTTCGAAAAAAAAACGAACAGGAAGAAAGCAGGAGAGGAAAGAGTGGAGAAGCGAGGTGAAATCACTTCCTCACGGTCTATTTAATTTTATGAATAAGTGGTTCCGGCCGGCAATGTCGACCTCCGGTCATGCCCATTCCTCCAGCCTCCCGCTGCTCTCCACAAAAAAACAAAAAATAAATAAATTTGATTCTCTCTTTTAATGCCGCGCCATCCAGCTCGCTCTACCCCCCTCCCCTCTCCCCCGGTCCCCCTTTCCATTCGCAGTCGTCGCGCATGGACTGCATTAAAAGGCGCCGAGCAGGGAGGGCTTCTCAGGAAAGTGTTTACGAATGCGAAGAAAGTTTCTCCTTCGAACCGCAGCAAGGGGAAATGGGGAGAAGTGGGGGAAAGAGGAGCATCGGCCGGCGGCTTTACACCTCCATGAAGACTGCCGCACGTCTGCACGAGAAGAGCTGCAGAGGAGAGTTTACGAGTTAGGACGCTAGTGCACGTTAGGACACCTTTTTTTGCTTCATTAGTTTAAAACGTCAGTTTGGAAACCAAGAGATCTCGTGTTTGGCTTGCGTAGGTGATAGTACGCACAGTGCACCAATGTATACAAGCGGGGGTGTGTACGAGTGAGTACACATAGGAAAATAGAAACCTGTACCAACCATCATATGGTCACTTAAGTGACAGCTATAAAGTGATGTTTAAGACAACATGAAAATTGCCGCCGTGAGGATTCAACTATGGTTCCAATAACTGTATGATCTAATTTTTTAACCATGATATGGTTATCCCTCCTGAGGTAACCATACGATGGTTGCTAGAGCTCTCCACTTCTCCGCTCGGAGAAAAATACATTGGCTGCTGTAATTAAAATTGTGTTCAGTCTGCCCCTGAGTCATAACCATAGAACGTTCTATATGCTGGCTGAGCGTTTAGACGCTCCAACTAAACACCTTAGTGGCGTTCTGGCGTTCTATGGTTATGACTCAGTGGGCAGACTGAACAGCAGTTTAGTTACAGCTACCAAATATTTCGGCCGTGGTGACGAGACATTTTTCTCACAATCAGTGTAGCTATCGTACGAAAGTGGTTGTGCACAGGGACAGTAGTTTAACAGTCCGCAGCAGCCTGCAGCAGCGGGGGCAACACGCCACACGACACGTTCTAGGAATTTCCCATCATCATCAGCGGCTGTTTCTGGAATGCTTTTCATTTCTACCGTTGTTTTTATTCATAGCGAGGGGGGCTGGTGCTTGCGATTTGCACAGGTCCATTTGATGATTTGATTCTCACATCTCTAACTGTTGTGACGTTGTCTGTTTAACTCGATACGGTAGCGCGTGGTGCGCCTCTCAGGAGGTTGTGTGTACGGCTCGCAGCCTCGCCACACAAGATTCCGATAGTTGGGTTCGAAGTTGTTCAAAGTGCCAGCCATGTGGGGAGTGGGCCCCCTCTCGGCTTTTCGCGTGCGAGCGCCTGGCTCACGTCCAGGTTCATACGTCTCGCAGTCTCACGCACATATGTGTCTGTTCTTCGCTCGTTGCTATGAAAGGATGAGTCAATTGGAAAGTGTAAAAAAATAATTTTACAATCTGTACAACACTTTAAATGTTCTTTGTTTTGGGATTAAAACTGTATAACATTTTTGTTTTGCAGATTGCAAATCCCAAAATTTTCGTACAAAAAATCGTCTTTGAAAAACCTCTGAAAAAGTGGTATTTGTTTTAATTACTTTAAGTGAGTTGTCCTAAGATTTGCCAGTGTATCCCGGTAACTTCTTCAACTTCAACTTCTTCAAAAAGGGTTATAACGAAGGATAATAAAGGGAATACTCCTTGGTAAGGGTTACAGGAAAATTTTCCATTGCAAAAGTCGTAAAATTACAATTTGAAAATTGTAAACTGACAAGAACTCCCTATCGACTTGGAATTGACCGAGCAGATAGAATGGGCTGTCGTAAATTCACGACATATTTTGTAAATCAAAATTACAATTAATGTCATAAATTTATCAGGATATTTTCCACAGGGAATGGAAAATATATCTTTTTCTTTTTCAAGGTTAAACTTCTTGAATCACATACTGAAAAATACGATTTTCTGGATGTAGTACGATGCAACTCGTTTTACAGCGAGACTTTTCACAAGAGCGATAGGCAGGTGCGGAGTGCAGTGCGAGTGCGAACGCTAAGAAGTTACCGTGAAGTCGCGCTGAACACAACCCCGCTTGATGCTCCCGCCCTTCAGAGTCCGCTTCGCTTCACCCCCCTTTTCCGCTTCTATCCCGCGGCCTCACACGCGCCGATCCGAACCGCAGACCCAGCCGAAAATTCCGGTTACGGTTACGGCCAGAATTTACGATTACGGCCGTAATTTGCTACGGTTACGGTCAAAATTTACGATTACGGCCGTAATTTGCTACGGTTACGGTTAAAATGTACGATTACGATCGTAACCGGAGTTCGATTACGGTTTACACTTACGGTTACGAGTAAGCTTGCGAATACGACCGTAACCGTAGCCCGGTTACGGT